GGTGCAAAGCCTTTATTGGTTTATTTGATGGGGCCAGTTCATATTTATTTATCTTCTCAAGCGCTTCCGTGTAAAAAAAGACTGATAATACTCAAGGGAGTGTGGTATTTCAAAGTGGCAAAATTGATATTTCATTCAGTTTTACGGTATCTTTGCACAACATCGTGAAGAACTACGTAAAACAAAGACAATTACAAACCACAGGGTACCCAACTCACCCGGGCGAAGCCATATTAAAGCAAACTGCCAGATACAGCTTCAAAGGCGGGCTTTCTCTGGATACTTGGCGATCTTCAAAGTTAAAAATAAAATAAAAGTTAATAAATAATTCAAGTTTTACATTTAAGATGTTTTTGTTTTTTTCAAAAGAAAATTCACAACCCCCGGATGAATGACGTCACTATCAAAATAACACCTTTGATATACCTAGTGCGAAAACATATAAGTGAAACGACCTATCACAACAAAAGAAAGTAAATAATTTCTCATTTTTCTTCACTGAATGGTTGGAAATTACAAATCACTGCAGGTGTAAAGCAGATTACAATGATTTACCCTTTATTTTTGTGGTTTTTGTTCAATTATTTTCGTTGATCAGAATAACAGCCAGAGAGCTATTGAAAAGTTTGATAACATTATTGTACAGTATTATCAAGCTAAATGAGTTTCCTTTCCTAACTGCAGTCCAGACAAATTCATTTTAAATTTCCCCCACAGGGCGTTGAGACAAAGCTTGTATTCGATAAGCGAACATTGCCTCTGGCCTTAAAGAAAAACCACTATTTTAGTCATACACCATCGGCGATACGTCTCATTTCATAAAATTACCATTCTAAAGCTTTAATTTGAATAAAAACTTGACTGAGAATTTTTAGGTTTTGTCGTGTTGACTATATCTGAATACACATATTAAAAAAAAGTATTTTTTTTTTTTTTCGCGTGTTGATTTATCGAAAATTAAAAACGAAAAATAAAAAAGAAAGAAAAATAAAACACTGATTCAAGAATGGAGTGATTTTGAATTACATTCAATTTGTTTCAAAAGCGAAAAAGTGTATAATATTCCATAATTTAGGTGTTTTTCAACAGCACCTTTTAAAGATCTGTAAAAATAAATGTATTTGTTCAAGTCGGAGAATTAATTTTTTACTCGGAGTATTGTTCAGATTGTCAAACTCGAAGTATGGAAGTACCGGCCGATATAGCACGATTTGAAAGCTTACCGTTTGGACGTCCATTTTATATTGTACATTTTGTACACTAAGCAAATTCGACACCGTTTCTTTCTTCTTCTTCTTCTTCTTCCTTTTTTTTTTTTTTTTTTTTTTTTTTTTTTTTTTTTTTTTTTTTTTTTTTGAGCCACGGTGTTCAAGCTGCGTCACCTCTCCCTCCCCCCAAATGCATATTATATTCTCTGACCTAACTAGCTACTAATAACCTATGAAGAAAAGGAATGTAATATAAAGTTGAGTTGGGAACTGATCAATTCATACTTAATCAAGCATGGTCGGTCCAATGTCAAGAACTAGTCGAGTCTTGTACACCAGTCTCCTTCCCCTTCTATGGGTTCGAGAGAAGWATTGTTTGTCAAGTAAACATGTTCCCCCCAAATCTAAAGTGTGGAGAGGGGCTCCAATCTCCCCCTTCCCCCCTTCTCCTCTTCCCCCCTTCCCCCCTTCCACCGCCTCCACCTCCGCTCCATCACCTATGAAACTTGAGTGACTTGAAGTAAAGTGAATCAACTCGAAAAAAAGTTTAAAAGAGAACTCGAAAAAAAGTTTAAAAGAGAAAATATAAAACCAATTCTATTTAGAAAACGAGATTTCGCACGCTTCTCCATGTGGTCTTCATAGTTAAAAGCCAAAGTGTTGTTAAGAGTAATTGAGTAAATTACTTGAAGGAAGTGTAGTTGAAATAGATCACTTCCTTCGAAGGCGACAAAAGCGAGTGGAGCACTATTGATTACAGAAGCCGTTTTTAAAATATCTTTTCACAGTCCCGGGTAGAAGTTGAGATATTTTGGCAAAAAGCTTTTGAATTGCGGCGGAATGGCATTCTCATTTTTCGCCTTAATGTCTGGAGAACTTCGTTACATGTAGACCGGTAATTATTTTTGGTTTTGTCCTTGACTTCCTTGACTTAATGTGTGGTTAATCAGTTGTGAATCAAAGAAATCTTTGAATGTATCAACTTTAAAATGTTACCTCGATAAAAGCTCAACTTTATTAAGAATTAAAAAAAGAGAGCTTTTGCAGACCTGGGTGGTAGATTTGTAGATCACTCCTCGATAACTTCTGATAAAGTGGAAATGAGATTGAATTATCATGATTTATTTTATTACCAACCCGCGATAAATAAAACGCATCATATTCTTCCTTCAAAAACATGAGTTTGAAAATTGAAAACTTGCCGGAACTATAAATGTATCGTCTATGTAGGTAATGGAGGGTTTGCAAATATTGAGTCGTCGTCTTGATGGACGTTCAGTGCACGATAATTGCAGGACTTAAGAATTGATTCTGAACAAAATTATATTTGTATTGTATTATTTCATCTATTATCTTRCTAGAGACCTTTGACAAGTCTTTCTTTCTTTCTTTGAATGGTCGCTAGTGTATATAAATGTCAGATTCAATTCAGTCTATCTTTATTGGGAAGAAGATATCACAATACTAACCAGAAACAATTTAGTACAGGAGATAAAGATATTAATGAAAATTGCAACTTTCTTTCCCAAAATAATTAATGGGTTTTTATACATTACTGAACAATTATATAGTGTCGACCCTCGTGTCGTTCAGGAAATTGATGCTGAAACCTAAATCCTAAAATGGTTTTAGTCCTCGCTGATTTTCAAAGAACTGGGAGCTCCTCTTGTAAACCAATCCCTGTTCTCTTTCCTCGCGTTTCCTCTGGTTTTCGGTACTTTATTTCCCGGTGGTCTTGAAGATAATACAAGATATTGGAAGGAAACTGAGATCAGTCATCAACGCAATTTGGTGTCATCAAGATATAGTTGATCGTCGYACGAAATGGAGATGAGATATGTTCTGTTAGTGAAAATAATTTTTATTGAAATGACTACTTGATGAAGTTAACTTTTTCGTTTTACCATCTTTGGTTATGATTAATATTTCTGTCTTTCTCTTTCTCTTTCTCTTTCTCTTTCTGTCTTTTTTCTTTTTTCATTCCCTTTGTTCTTTCTTGGTTTTCATCCAAGTTTCTTTTCATTATTCTATTTATTAGTCATTCATTAGTTATTTGTCAGCTCTAAGTTAGTAAAAAGAGAAAAATTTTGAATCAGAACAAAATCAAAGATTTGCTAATTCTATCGCCTATATTTTTATATTTATTTCCTTTTGAGTTTCAAAAATACTTCTCGAAAACAACAATGCTTTTAACTGGAATCACAAAGGACTGATAAGATTATGGCTCTCGATATTATTTATGAGTCGTGTCACTGAAACATCAGCTCTTCAGTTTACTTTCGCACCATCCATCAAGATTTTGTTCAGTAACTATTCCCCTTAAAAAGCTTGCTAACTTCACTATCGCTACACTTTTCCAGAGTGAACCGTTTCAACTTTAAACCGAAATCAAGGCAATGCAAGGTAAGTTCAATCCTTTCGGGTTCGTGTTCTCTTCTCTTTAAGAAACGCCAGAATTTATATATTCCCAGCACTACTCTGTTAAGTGTATAAAGAACTCGATTAAAGAAAAACATGTTTACTTGACAAACAATACTTCTCTCGAACCCATAGAAGGGGAAGGAGACTTGTGTACAAGACTCGACTAGTTCTTGACATTGGACCGTGCATGCTTAACTAAGTATGAATTGATCAGTTCCCAAYTCAACTTTATATTACATTCCTTTTCTTCATAGGTTATTAGTAACTAGCTACGTCAGAGAATATAATATGCAGTGCTTAACAGATACAGTGCATTGCATTGGATTTTTTGGCATTGATTTAGATCAAGATTGAAAATCCTATTACATTAAATAATTACGACACTCCGCTTCTCACTTCTCTCCTCTCCCCCTTCCTCACTTTATTCCTCACTCCTCTCCTCACTCCACTCTTCACGCCACTCCTCACTTCCCTCCTCATTCCACTCCTCACTCCACTCCTCACTCCACTCCTCACTCCACTCCTCACTCCACTCCTCACTCCACTCCTCACTCCACTCCTCACTCCCCTCNCTCACTCCACTCCTCACTCCACTCCTCACTCCACTCCTCACTCCACTCCTCACTCCACTCCTCACTCCACTCCTCACTCCACTCCTCGCTCCCCTCTTCAATTCCCTCCTCACTCCCCTCCTCACTCCCCTCCTCACTCTCCCCCTCACTCCCCTCTTCACTCCACTCCTCACTCCACTCCTCACACCGCTCCTCACTCCACTCCTCACTCTCCCCCTCACTCCCCTCTTCATTCCACTCCTCACTCCACTTCCTGCTCCGCTCCTCACTCCCCTCTTCACTTACTTATCTCCTCACTCCCCTCCTGGATCCCCTCCTCGCTTCCCTTCTCGCTCCCATCCTCATTCCCTCCTCAATCAGGGCCTTACTCTCTTCCTCTCCTACTCTCCCACCAACACCATGTTACAAGCTTTGCTTTTCTTTTTAATATCTCCCCCTATTGCAGATTAATCAATGAAAA